GGGGCCACGAAAGACCTGACCTGAAGCCACCAGAAGATGGAAGAGACGATGGATTCTCTCGGAGAGCTTTCAGAGGGCCCACAGCCCTATCTACGCTTTGATTTCCTACGTTGCTCTCCACCGCAGCCAGAAGGATAGCTAACTATCTGTACTCTCTTCATTAGGTCGGTGGTAATTCGTTACAGCGGACCTGGGAAACGAATGTGTTTCTGGCACATTCCAGGGGCCTCACCTGGCAGGAATCTCGCCCGTACTTCTCGTCCCCGGCGCACACCATGTTTGGCGTGATCTGGTCCGGGTAGGCACGCTCACACTCTTCCCGGGGCACCAGGTGCACGTGGGCGCACTGGATGGTGTCAGGGAAATTCCCTGTAGCGAGCAGATGAACCAGGTTCACTCTGTGCCCTGCCCGTCCTACCTTTCCACAGCACCTTCCTTCCTACGTGGCTTTTCCTAGGAATCCCCCCAACATCCAACCCTCTAGCTCCTGTAAACGGCCCCCTCCCATCCCCATTGGATCCTCTTTCCCATGACTCCATGTCCCTCTTCCTAGTAATCTCTCACTCCCAGGTCCTGTGTCCACTGTCCCTGCTTCTAATTGGTTCTTCTTTCCATCATTCCTCCCTCCTCTAGAGGCCCGTGATCTTCACGAATCTCCCCTTTCCCCATGAATCCTCGTTTCCTGTCAGCTACCTCTTGCATTTAGATCCCGTCTCTGCTTTTCTGTCTTCCATTTGCTCTCCTCTTCAGTAGTCCCTGTTGACCTAATCGGCTGGTTTTCTCTATTAGTCTTTCCAGTGTTGGATCTCTCCTGCTCCACCCTTGGTTGGATCCTCTGCCCTGGGTTCGTCTTGAATGGTCATGACTTGCCCATTGGTTCTTTACAAACTGACCTCATTGCTACCCCATTGACTCTCTCTTCCTATTGATCCTTGATTTCATAATCCGGCCTTCTTACTGATCGTTAATTCATGCCCCCTCCTTCTTCTATCGACTCGTCTTCCTATTGGCTCTTTATACAATAGTCCCCCTCAATGGGACTATTGGCTCCTCCCACCCCCACAAGTGCTTCTTCCCTGTCCAATGGTCCACCTTCCTTACCGGCCCTTCACTCACAAGTCTGCTTCCGTTGGTGGTTCCCATTGAACTCATTTCTTCCACACGTTCCTCCTCTAGTGATCCTTGACTATTGATCTTTTCCCTAACCCCTCCCTCACCCATTCCCTCTATGTGCCTCATCCAAATTGGCCATCCCTGCTTGGTCATGTTTCCCCAATTCGTCTCTCTTCCATTCCTTCAGGCTCATGAGTACATCCATCCTGACTGATCCCTTTTGACCATTTCCCGCCTTCCTGACTTGTCTTTCCCCTCCGACATCCCTCTTCTCATTGAGCCTATCTCATTGTATGTCCATCTCTGACATATCCCTCGCCCACTGGTCTCCTGTTCACTCAGTGACATTCCCTCCATAATGGTCCTCACTCTCCACGGACCCTTCATCCATTGATATTCTGACACATGGGTCTGTTCCACAGTACTCCACCTTGCCCACAGCCCCTCACCTCTCCCACGGACTTCCCCTTTGATCCATGTCCCTATTGCCCATCACCCATTAGTTCGCTGCCCCCTGGGGCCCGTCGTCATTGGACCACTCCTTCCATGATCCATTACGATTGGTCCACCTCCCGCTGTGCCCCCTCATCCATTGGTCCCCCTTTTTCATGACCATCGGCCAGTTCCCCCGACTAACCATCAGCTGTCTTCCCCCAGCCTAGAATCTGGCAGCTGGTTTCGCTGGAGGAGCAGTCCCTCTCCAGGGCAAGGGGCTTGATGAGGTCTGAGAGATGGGCTGGGCGTGCCAAACGTAACAGCATGATGTCCTGGTCGTGGGTGGCCGCGGTGTAGCCAGGGTGGGACACGGTTTGGACAACAGAGATGTGCTCCTGGGAGCTCTCGGACTTATGCAGGTTGTGCTTCCCCAGAAAGACCTGAAGGTTCCTGGGAAGGAGGAAGGGAGACTGGGTCTCACCTGGAGCTGTCGGGGCTGCAGTTGAAGTCCCAGAGTGGGTTGCCTCGTCCTCGTCATCGTCTTCAGATGAGTCCTTTGACCTGCTCCTCCCACCGTCTCCCCAGCTCTGGAAAGGACAACTCCATCCTTCTAGAGTCACTTTGATGGAGAGTATCATTCTTCTTATTTTATTTTAATTTTTTATAAATCCGTGGGTAGAGGGCGAGTGGGTTGGAAAGAGGGAACTGATTACAAGGAACTATATGTGACC